CAACGTACTAGATCTAACACTCGTAACGGGAAAGAGTACTTTGGTATCTGGCAGGAGAGTCCTTGAAAGACCATCCTTCTCAGACCACAAGTACATTCAATTCAAGTGCGAATTTAAACACTCTCCGCAGATAACTGTTTATAGAAACCCCCGGAACACAAACTGGGAAAAGTGAAAAAAAACAGTTACTTCGAAGCTCGCGACTCGCCCGGGCACAGTGAAATCCCCGGAAGACATAGAAACGTCCCTAGAGACCCTATTCAAGGAACTACTGGATGCGTACCACGTATCGTGCCCACCCTCGAGAACGAAAAAGAGGACCAAACCACTCTGGTGGAACCGGGACCTATCGCTCCAAAGAAACAACCTCAAAGAATTCTTCAAAATCGCCAAACAGGCGAACGAGGATATAATCAATGAGGAATACAAAACCCTACTCAGGAGTACAAGAAGGAAATACGCAGGGCACAAAGAAACTCATGGAGGAACTTCTGCTCTAATATCGAGAAAGTCCCAGAAACGGCTAGACTTCGGAAGCTGCTATCAAAGCAACCTACCATACAGAGAAGCTGAATCGAGAAGATGGACAGTGGACTGAGGGCAGTGAAGAAGCCCTAATAGCACTAATGGAAGCTCACTTCCCAGGATGCACCGAGGTTGCTGACGCTACAACGCATCAGGACCTAGCAACTGAGGAAGAGCATCCCCCAACAGGTCTCATATCGTCTAAGAAAATCCACTGGGCTATAGACTCCTTTGCGGGTACAAAAGCACCTGGACTAGACGGTATATTCCCAGCCATGCTATAGGTGACCAAAGTCGTGATCACCCCATGGCTCTCTGCAATATACTCAGCTTGCCTGAGCACGGGCTATATCCCTATTCAATGGCGGACCTCGAGGACTGTCTTCCTTCCAAAGGCAGGAAAGTGCAGCCATATGAGCCCCAAGGATTACAGACCGATAAGCCTCACCTCCTTTCTACTCAAAACACTAGAAAAGCTGCTGGATCTCCACATCAGGAATGGTGTAGGGAGACTGATGTCAACCATCCAGCATGCCTACACCAAAGGGAAATCGGTACTGCATTCGCTAGTAGCCACCATCGAGAGAGCCCTCCATAATAAAAAGTATGCTCTAGGAGTGTTCGTAAACATATCCGGAGCATTCAACAACGTCACTACGAACGCTATTATGGACCGCCTAGAAGCGACCAACACACATCCCGCAATCAACCTCTGGATAGAGAACCTTCTAAGTTGCAGACGGGTGCAATCAGAGTGGGGCACCGCTTCCATGGTGAGGCGGGCGCATAGAGGCACACCACAAGGTGGGGTCCTGTCGCCCCTCCTGTGGAACCTAGTGGTCGACGACTTAATAAAGAGATTCGAGAGGAGAGCCCCAAAAATAACAGACTATGCAGATGACATAAGCATAATTATTACGGGAGTATGTCCATCGACCCTCAGCTCCCTAATGGAATCAACACTCAGGGAGATATGTGAGTGGGCAGGAAAAGTAGGACTCAGTATCAACGCGGACAAGACGGACTTCATCCTCTTTACCAAGAGATACAAGGTACCGGCATGGATCCCCCCGAAAATTGATAAAACCAGGCTGACCCCGAAAGCACAAGTCAAATACCTCGGCATAGTACTGGATAGCAAGCTGGCATGGAGACCCAATGTAGTGGAAAGGGTGAAGAAGGCCACCATTGCGCTATACGCCTGTCACCTGCTCTAATGCACTGGATCTACATCTCGGTGGTGCGACCGACTCTGCTGTACGGAGTCTTAGTATGGTGGCAAGCGACAGAAAAGAAGACGTACAATAAGCTTATGGAAACGACCCAGTGGCAGGCACTGCTCTGCATTACGGGGGCGCTGAGGTCAACTCCAACACAAGCACTCGAAACCATAATCGGAATCGACCCCCAGGACATCCACGCTCAACTGACTGCAGGAAAGGCGGCACAACGCTTAGTAGCATCAGGCAACATGTCTCTACAAGGATTCGGGCACAGTTCAATTGGCCGAGACATGACCAGTATATCTGACTACATGATCCCCCCAACTGGCCTGGATGTAAAAACAACCTCATACATGGGAACCGACGATTGGAAAAGGGGTCGGGACCAGACTCAATACCTCAACATCTATACTGACGGCTCCAAGATGGATGTAGGAGTAGGAGCAGGCATATACTGTACAGACCCTGAGATAAGGCTGTCTTATAAGCTACCGGACCAATGCAGCATATTCCAGGCGGAAGTCTTCGCCATACGGAAAGCGGCAGAGGCTGCTCAGTCTACGCATCGTCCACACGACGTGATCAACCTGTTCGTGGACAGCCAGGCGGCGATAAGATCCATGCAGTCGTTGGCGGTCAGTTCCAGAAATGTCTTGGCAAGCAGGGAGGCACTAGATATCCTAAGCACGACAAAGTCAGTGCGGATCTACTGGGTTCCCAGCCACCAAGGCATCGATGGCAACGAGATGGCAACGAGATGGCGGACGGTCTGGCTAAGGACGGCGTCGGGCTGGCAAACGACAGAACTGAGAACGTGCCTGTCTCCCTTAGAACGCTCCAAAGCGATTTAGAGAAACGGGCCGACACACAGGCAAGAAGCAGGTGGAGCAGAACCACCACCTGCAGAACCTCAAAAACCATGTGCAAGGAGCGCAATAGGAAACTCAGCCACTACATACTGCACCTCCCACGGAAGGACTGCAGAATGTTGGTGGGAATACTCACAGGTCACTGTCTGGCCGCGGCACATGCAGTCAAACTAGGCATTACCAACAGTGGCAACTGCAGGAAATGCGAGGAATCCGGGGCAACTGAAACCCTGGAACATCTCATCTGCAACTGCTCGGCTCTCTCAAGGGCTAGGAGAATATACCTGGGCGCCCCAGTACTGGCATCACTGAAAGATGCCTCCAAGAGGACGCCAGGGGAACTGCTAGCCTTTACCAAAAACACTTCGATCCTCAAGGACTTCAAAACTTCATAAATATACTCGAAAGGTTCATACAACCCCATCCGGAAAACTAAGGGCCATATTGGCCTATGCGTGGCCCCGTGAGGGCCGTCTGGCTTAACCTAATCTAACCTATTTGTGGTGATTTCCTTTTTTATTTTTAAACGAATTTTTCAGTTTGTCTACTACAGGACATATACATGTATCTTTTTTCCTTTTAGCCGAAGGCCATAGTGCTACTGTAAGTTATAGCCTTTTCCCACACAGCACATATCTGAGGAACGGTGGTAATTTTTGACAGTTGTGAAACTCCGATTACACTAGTCAACACGATTTTTCCTCAAGGAACAAAACTAACTTTTTCTTAAAGATTTGGGGCTTAGAAATGGTATTTTTTTTTTTTTCTATGGCAGAACTTTTTTTTGAAGAATTTTTGAAAACTGGTATTTTTTTTTTAAATCTATGGAGAGACTTTGGAGCTAAAATTCGTTAACCAAACCTAAAATATGAAAAAAATGAACAAAAAATACCTTTTGGAAGGTTGCGAGCCCAACTGCCCATTGGGAACAAAGGAACGCGATCAGGTACCAAATGTACAACCCTTGTTCTTTACAACCAGACGTAAGTTACTAGAGCTATGTGAAAACAACAAGCGCTTCCTCTAAAAAAAGCTTAAAAAAAAAATACCAGACTTCAAAAATTCTTCAAAAAAAAGTTCTGCCATAGAAAAAAAACCATAATTCTTTAAAAAATTTTAAATCTCCATATCTATCAGAAAAAGTCGGTTTGGATCCTTGAGGAAAAAAAAAGTTCGATTTTGTCGAGTAGTGTTATCACTGGCACCATCCACCATCCATGAAAAATAGCTGAAGCACACAATTTGGTGCGGCGGAAAATTTTTCCTTTATAATTTAAATTAATATTAACAATATTGCAATGGTTGTGAATTTGATTCAGCACCAAAATATATTCTTGCACAATCTAATCATGTTGCTGGACATGGATGATGATAATAATGTGGTCAAAAGGAGAATTTATTGAAATGAATCTGTTTTGAAAAAACTGAAGCGTGGGCATTTGTGACTGTTTCTACTAAATTCAATCAATGTTTTAAATGCAATTATATGTTCTATGTTTTTTGAGAAGCGGTTTTGGACATTTTAAGAGAAAGATGTACCCGATGTAGCCAAAGCATTGTGTACTTTGGGCTCTTATTCTGAGTACAGAACATTCGGAAGGCTGTCAGCCAACAGCGTGTGCAATATATTGCATTAGTTTTGCAGAGCATTCATAAAAGAATTCCCAGAGGATAGTCCACAAACCGAGTTTTTGTGCCTGAGACAATTCTGACAAATCAGAGGTTATGTTGTTGTTTTTACCATTTTCCTGTCTGTCATTGTTTACATTGTCGTAGTGAACTCCGATTTTTTGTTGTGAATGTCAAATATTTATGGTTGCATTTGACAATTATCGAAAAGATACCGCACAGAAACGTGTGAATGGCTAATGGAATAACTGGGAAATTTTCGAGACGGCAAAACCTTACGGACCATCCCCGAAATAGATGGAGGATGGTGGATGGTGGCCTGTGGGAATACTAGGGAATACTTTATAAAAATAAAGTAACTTCTTTTTTTTTTTTTTTCAAAAAATGTTCTTTTTAATCAATTTTTGCTTATATTTTTCTATAAGAAGGAATCAATTTAGTTCCTGCACTGACAGTTATCTAAGAGATATAGCCTTTAATTGATACACAAATGTTTGCATAAAATGCAATAGGTCGAAAGTTTTGAGGAAAAAACAAAACTATGTCTAAAGCCAGTACCTTTCCCCTACTAAATTCTAGCCGAGGGAGAATTTTAAATTTATCGATCCCACGATCCCACTGAGTAAGCCCAAGCTAGTTTCAGATGGCCGAAACTACCTTTCTTTCTTCTTCGGTATTTACTGTAAATGCAATGTTATTATTAATAAATAATTAAGTAAATATAAATAAAAAAATTATATCCAAAATGATTTACCTCTACTCGATAGCCATTGAAATTTACAAGTCCTAATTCCTTTAAAGTAACTGATATATCTGATGGCGTACCGTCAGATCTTCTATTGATAAAAGCAATTGCATAGGAGTAGAAGTTTTCATTAAGTGGTCCGATGGGCTTTGACCAAATTTCAATTCCTTTATGTTTGTAAATTCTTCGTCCTTGTATTCCCAGTGGGTCCTGATCGACAGCAATTATTTTTCTATTTTGTAAAATACGTTTGAATTGTGGACGAATAGTTCGTAAGTCCACAGACATTAAAAGTGGAGCAGCCAAAATAGACCAGATTGCAAACTGTGTTTTTGCTTGCTCATAGCTTAGTCCAAAATTTCCAATAATCAACTGCAATAAGAATAAATGTTTTTGTAACTATTATTAGTGTTCATGTTAAGTGTTTTGCGATTTTGAAGTGTGAGTGAAAAACATTGGATTCGGATTCAACGTTAATAAAATCGGCTGCAAGCGGATGAAATTTTATGTTTAAGTGTACAATGAACTGTAACGAACCATGGATCCCATGGTTCGTCAGAAGCAGTCGGTGCCACCTACGCGTGGCCAATCGACGGAAAGGCACGAGCCAAGATTATATAACCAACCCCCACCAAGTAACCAAAGCTCTTAAATGACGAGGTCAATACCCAACAAAATGAAAACTCAGCACACGCGCCACCAAAATCTACAAAAATGGGAACAGCAAGAGACAAAATAAAGAAAAATAACTACCAACCTCAGCACACGCGCGGCCGGTAGGTAGGAAAGCCGAGGACTCAGCACATGGGCCATCGAACGTCAAGGAAATGCGATCACCCTACGCAGCAAAATGCAACGAATAGCATGGAAAAGTGCCAATCATCACGCTAAAGCGAAACCCGAGCCCGGTTCGGAGCAATGTCCCATACATAGCAGCACTGGCCCTATCAAGAAAGCGAAAACGCTATATATATCTGAGTTCTATCTATACTAAATCAGTTCGCTAAGAGTTCCCTTTGAGTTCGCTTTCGAGTCGAAAGGCCGATCCTAAAAGTGCCGTTTAACAAACCAACTGAAAACCACCATGGAATATCACGACGAGGAACAACCAGAGAAGGTATACCCTGCTGGACACTTTTCGAATCCAGGGGTCAGCATCGGCTGGATCCACAAACTCCGACGGGACGAGCTAGAAGTCCTCGCCGAAGAATTCGGATTCGGCAACGAAGGAACGGTCGATGAACGCCGAAAGAAATTTTCCGCACTCGTCGCCGGGCCACTCGCTCAAGAAGCCTGGGTTCGCTTAGGAGAGCTCGGGAGACACTATGCAAACCAGGCTCACGCTCTCGGTCCAAGTCACCACTTCTCACTACTCCTGGACCATCCAAAACTCGCCAAATGGATCCCAAGACTGGATTACGAGTCCCCGTACCCACCGAATACCGCACTCCTGCAGACCCGTTTCCAAGGCCTCTAGCTACAGAGACTCACCCAGCGCCCGTACCGAGTATCGTGTCAGCGATCGACCGACCCGTGGAAGGGTACCACTACAACCACGCCGCACCAATGGCCGAACGCATCCGAAAATGGGGAATCTAGTTTGACGGCCAAGATGACCCTATATCGTTCATTGAACTGCTCGAAGAACGCGCGCTCTCGTATGGGGTGGACACAAACCAGCTGCCACGGGCCATGGCCGAACTCCTCACAGACCTTGCCAGACCAGGTCCAGGTTCCGCACCTACAAAGTTTCTCATTGGAAACTTTCCGCCAGGAATTCTTGACGTTCTTCTTGCCACAATTGGAAGACCAGATCCGAGCCCGCAAGCAAGTGGTGGGGAACTGTTCAAAGATTTTCCCATTGATATGAGGCTACTTATGCACCACGCTGGCTACGACGCGGTTAAGGAACTAAACAGGAACTCCGACAACGCCCTCCCAGCATACCAGATGTACGTGCGCCGCCAGGAACTGCAAGACTTGTCACAGTTAACACTGCTAGCCACGGAGTTCGAGAGTATTCAAGAGCGGACCATCCCGATCACTCTCGGAAGGCCGTCTACAGAGCAGAGGAGCGGACTCCAATCGGACACCATTTCGGAAGCCCCAGTGGGACTCGGCAGACTCACCAAGGAGACAGCCATAAAACCCAGCCAGTACGGTAAATCCCGATGTGGCACATCGCATGATCACGACCGCCATCGCCAACCCACGCGCAGCCTGTCGCCGGTGTGGTGAAGCAGGGAATGCGGAATATGACTGCCAAAATCCCTCGATGCGTACGCATGCATCAACAACAGCGTACAAGGCAAAGAACCCCGACACCAGAAACCGAAACCAACGGCAGCCGTCATACGTCCAAAACTTATCCCAACTATTTCGGCACCCAGCAGCGCCATCATGTGTCATGTCATATACAAACCCCAGCAAACACACGACCACGACCTACCCCAACGAATACAACAACCAAGATCGTCACGGAGAACACACCCAGCCCCAGCCAACGAACCCTGATTCGTCACAAGCAGTCGGTGCAACCAACGCTACTCCAAGGTGAATATATTAATACCAACAAATTCGAAGACGCAGCACAGGTCGAAAGACAGAAAGACGTCTGGACGTTGTCTGGACGTTGATATGCAATGACTGCACCATCAAGTGGCCCATGCGACAGCAAGCTAAAGCCTGTTACGCTCGGAACTCGGAGTCGCATGACGTCCGACGCGTGTTACCGAACCGATCACGAGCATGCAGGAAAGAGAGATGTTAGACTAAAGTTCGAGGAAAATTAGAGCTAAACACAACTCAAAGAGCTAAACTGCAAAGATAGCTAAGAAATTGTACTAATTTCGGGAAAGGTATGTTAGTATTAGTGATTTAAGAAGGGGAAGTCTATTAGTGGTGGATATTATATGGTAGACGGAATTGCAGGCGAGCATAGGACCCTAAATGGTTCGTGCAAGGAATAATTTGATATACGAAGCGGAAGTAGATCTAATCGGAATCGTAAAGTTTATGCGGCTCAACAAGTCAGGGCTATCTACGTCACCCTTCATCAGGTTGTGCATAAAAATCACACCAAGCATTTTTCTACGACTAACTAAGGTTGGAAGGTTTATTAAAAGCAATCTACGAGGGTAATATGGCAGTCTCACACCTGCATCCCAGTTAAGGCCACGCAGCGCAAAAAGTAAAAAGTTTTTCTGGACTGATTCTATACGGTCGTGGTGTACTTTGTATTGGGGGCACCATACACAAGAGCCGTACTCTAAAATCGGACGAACAAGCGAGATGTGGAGAGTCTTCGTTGTATAGGGGTCGTCAAATTCCTTTGACCACCTCTTTATAAACCCAAGCACACCCATGGCCTTATTTACCATGGTAGAAATGTGTTCAGAAAACTTTAACTTTGGGTCTAATTTAACACCAAGATCATCAACCAAGGTAATTCTCTCAAGAGAACCACCGCAGAGGATATAAGGAGCCAAAAGGGGGCTGGAGCGATGAAATGTCATTACTTTGCATTTCGAGGCATTTAGGTGTAACATATTTGCACAACACCATGACTGAAAGTTATTGAGATCGGATTGCAAGCGAGAGTAAAATGAAATGTCCTTATACTGGACGCGGAGTTTAACATCATCCGCATACATGAGTACTCGAGAGTTTGTTAATACTAAAGGCAGGTCATTAATAATGGCTGCCCTGTGGAACTCCAGAAGTAACCTTAACAGGTGAAGAGAAGGAGACCTAGAACGAAGGTAGCTAGAAATCCATCTCAAAAGACTAGGCGGAAACCCTAAAAGGTCAAGTTTTTGTGCTAGAAGGGAATGGTTTACAGAGTCGAATGCTTTACTGAAATCAGTATAGATGACATCCATCTGCAAGTTACCTTGAAAGCCTTTAATGATAAAAGAGGTAAACTCTAATAAATTGGTGGTTGTTGATCGCCGCCTTATAAATCCGTGATGAGGCGGTGATATTAGTGATTTGCAGAGATGTTGCAAATGCGGAGTTAAAATTTTTTCAAATATTTTAGTAATAGCGGATAACTTAGATATACCTCTATAATTATTTGTATCAGACTTGCTACCTTTCTTATGAAGCGGAATAATAAAAGATTCTATCCAGATGGGGGGAAGCAAGACGCGTTAATGAGTAGGGTGAATAGTTTAAGCACGGGTCTAAACAGAGCGTCGGCACAGTACCTAAGTACACAGCCGGGAACTCCGTCAGGACCTGGTGAAAACACCGGCTTAACTAGTCGAAGATCATGGAGCAGTTAGCTTTCATTTAAAAAGGGGCTGAAAATGCCATTCGACCTTGGTAAACTGTATGAATAAGGCTGACCAGAGTAGCTTTCATGAGAACAGGTTGTTTGGAAAAATTTGGCAAAAAGATCGGCAATTTCCTGATCATTGTTTGCTGACATATTGAGAAATAATAGCGAGGATGTATGTGCGGACGTTCTACTCTTACTATTTACGAAGCTGTGAAAATCGTCCAGTGAAAATCGTATCCTGCATCGAGATAGGTAATTTTTATAGCACTGAGCGTTAAGAACGGAGATATTTGACCGAGCTATTACATAGCGAGAGAGAGAAGAGTGTTTCCGCAACTCCTCGCAACCAGTTCGGAATAAAAATCTCGAAGTCAAAAGCCAAGTGCTGCTGGTTCGACCGAGTCGGAATTCAAATCATTTTATTCTCCTTCTTTCAATTTCGCTATTCACCTATTACATGCATGTTCTTCCTCTTTGTCTATCGATATTCACATATTACATGTATGTTCTATAGCACCAAACTTCTGTGAGCATGTCAAAATGCAACAATTCAATATCTTAATGCTACAAATTCATTTTACTTATATCCAAATACTAATTGCTCCCGGCCATAAGCCCTTTGCGCAAATTTGGCGTAAACATACTCCCGGCCTTGGAAGCTCCTTCCAACAATTTTACTCGGTGTCTTCAATCGGTAACGGGCAGATCTTGTGTATGTTGCGCTTGTACAATCCTGATTTGGTTTTGATGGTGACTACACGAACTATACCATCAGTGCCAGGATGAACTTGATGTACACGACCCAGAGCCCATTGTCCTGGGGGTATGTTGTCTTCTCCAATTAAGACCAAAATGCCTGGTTGAATGTTGTTGCATACCGAAGACCACTTGCTTCGCTCCTGCAACAACGTCAAATACTCCAGCGACCAGCGTCTCCAAAATGCATGGTGTACTGCGACGATTCTTTTCCATCGATTAGCAGCAGATAACTTCAAAATGTCCTCATCAAATGGCTCAGGCATGCAGTTCAATGGTCGACCAATTAAGAAATGACCCGGCGTCAATTCCTCGTAGTCATTACTGTCCGACG